CCGAGTGATAAAACCGAAAATTCAAAGCTGACGCCACGGCCGAATGGAGTCACGACAAGAAGAATGCCTACACCACCACCCACAGCAGCAGCAGCAGCAGCAGCTACTGCTGCTTCCTCATCACGCCAGGCCTTGTCAAGCAAGCGGCTGCGCAGTGACGCGACGAATGACACGTCGTCCGGCCCACATACAACGCTGCCGCTCGCAACGGTGCGTGACTTGGCGAGCGCAGGGATTAACACCAACGCCATCCCTCGAGATAACGACCTCTCAAATAGCGACGTTGTCAACATGATGACGGCATGGCTCTTCTTCGATGAGCCGGTGGTAGACAACGCGGGAGGTTCACAGCCGCGAATGTTGGCGTCTCCCAACGCAGGCGAGGCATCTCTGCGCGCATCAGCACAAAAAGGTGTTGAGAGCCGCACATCGCAACTGCAGCGAAACTCACAAAACTCACCATCGCCGCGGATCTCCACCAACACTGCTACTACTAGTGCTAGTAGTAACACTAATACTGGCTCATCCAGGCCTGAGGCGTGCGTGAGGGAGAAGGCACCACACCGTACGGATGACATGAATCCTGCAGTCGCAGCATTGGCAAGTGCGACGCGTGTGCCGACGCTACCGCTACAGCCACGGCGTCGACCCCTGTTCCACGCCGGCACGTGGCACAACGACAGCGAAGAGGACGTGGTCGACGCCGCCGCCGCCGCGACTGCTGCCAGGCCGTTCTCAAAGGCGCTTGGGCCTGCTGCTTCTGCTACCACTGGTGCCGCCGCCCAATCCCCAGTGTCAGATGCTGCAGGTGGAGAGACGAGCAGAGTCGCCGAGGCTGACGACAGTGACGAATATGACTATGAAGATGGCGAGGAGGACCTGCTGGAGGGTTTCTACCCCGAGGAATATGGACAGTGTGCACCACGGCAGTCGCCAAACAGCATCGTGTTTATATTGACGGCGGAGGACAGCTTCAGCAGCAGCGATAACGGTTTGACGGACTCGAAGGGTGCGATGAGGGCGCGGGGGAAAGACTTGTGGGCGCCGCGGAAGCCCCGCGTGCTGCGACGGTCGACGCCGCTCCCGTTAACGCCGCACAACAACAAGCCGGTGCAATGCCGTTACACGTCATCTCCCAGACTGCAGGACAACGCCCTGCAGAGCATAGAGGGCCCGCATGAGCAGCCACAGCTGCAACTGGTGAGGGGTCGCAGCTCGGCCACCGTGGACAGCGCCAGACAGCTGGAGCTCTTGCGGATATACCGCCCCACCTCCAGCAAGTACGCGCCGGACCCAAGCAAGATGCAACGCCCAGTAGGAAACACCTTCGGTCTGCGTCGTCATCGGAGGGCCAATAACGCCGACGCCGCAGCCCTTGTATATGGTGGTGCCGGTGCTGCAGCTGCTGCTGGTAAAGCCGGCGACGCAGAATGCGATGATGATGATGATGAGGAGTGGGAGGAGGATGAGGAATGGGTATGGGAGGAGGTTGAAGTGGAAGAGTGTAGTGATGATGATGATGATGATGGGGACGGTGCTGAGGGTGAAGGTGATGTCTCGCAAAGCTTAGAGTACTAAATCTCGTGCGCGTGCTTTGTGAGGAAGCAAACGGAGAAAAAAAAAAGGAGGAAGAAGAAGGAAAATAGAAAGAGGATCCTTAAGAGAGGGGCCTCGCCGTGAAGAAGGGGAGAGGGAAAGTGTGGGCACGAACCCAAAAACGACCCTCACACATGCACGCAAGTATATGCGTGCATCGATGCACAATGGGCGCCTGTCTGTCTCTCTGTCTGTGTGCGTGTGTGTGTGCACAGGGCACTGAGTGGACCGGTGTTTCACTGCGGGAGTGCCCCGGCTGTTTTGGCGCGTCGGCGAACGCGGCCGCTCTCACTTTAACCACCTGTTTCTTCCTCCAAACCAAAAAGAAAAAAAAAATCGAAGTTTTTTTTTGTTGTTTTTGACTTGTGCTTATGGCTTTCGCTCCCTTCTGGTTATCTGGCGGTGTCACAACTCCCGTGCGCTAGGCGTGCTATGTATCATGTCTCTCTCTCTCTCTCGCGCCGTGTGGCTCCTTTCCACTGCCGTAATGTGCCTAGATATAAATATTATTATATGCTTATATGCATACATACAACCACAACTGTCTCTCTGTCTGTGACTGTATGTGTGTGTGTATGTGTGTAGCCGCAGAAACTCCTTTTTTTTTCTTTTATACCAATAGTGCCTCACTTCGTGGGCCAGACGGTTGCCTCGGTTGTTTTTCCAGTGCCACCCCTCTCTGTGTGGCAACGCCGGTGCGTGCGTTATGCGCATGTGTGGGGTTTCCGCACAGCGCTGTGGGTGTATGCGCGAATGATGCTAAGTGACTTCGCTGCATGTATTCCCAGACAAGACACCTACGGATACACAGACACGTAGACACACACACACACACACACACACACACACGTCGTCTGCAGCATGGCTGAGCGGTGGTGCTCATGTCGCCTTCTCCATTTGTCACTCNTGGGCCAGACGGTTGCCTCGGTTGTTTTTCCAGTGCCACCCCTCTCTGTGTGGCAACGCCGGTGCGTGCGTTGTGCGCATGTGTGGGGTTTCCGCACAGCGCTGTGGGTGTATGCGCGAATGATGCTAAGTGACTTCGCTGCATGTATTCCCAGACAAGACACCTACGGATACACAGACACGTAGACACACACACACACACACACACGTCGTCTGCAGCATGGCTGAGCGGTGGTGCTCATGTCGCCTTCTCCATTTGTCACTCATCGTCTTTTTACTGCAGAAACCTTCTAGTAACGAGTAGCTATGGACGCCGCCTCCGTTGCGAACAGCAGTGAGAGACAGCAGAGCTCGTGGGATGACAGCAATACGACCAGTGGGTCCCGCCGTGTCATGTTTGCCGATGAAGAGAATTCAGGAACGAACAACAACCGCAAAGGGAGAAACGGCTCACCTCCACCACAAGAAGTAGCAGCAGCTACGAATAAGGGTGCTTCTGAGGGAACCTATGAGGGCGCGGATAACGCGGGGAACAGCAGAAGTAGCCGCCATCGACGGCAGCGCAGGCGCAACCCATCGAAGGAGGTTGAGGAGGCACTCGTACCGGATGAGGACTCCGAGCACGACGCAAAGCATCGCCTGCACGAACAGACAATGCTGCTCGAGGTTCAGGAACACACCCAGCGTACCCGTGTCGTGGCGTTGCAGATGGAGGAGGAGGACCAAATCGTCGCGGCGCTTCACGCGGCGGAGCG